AATGAAACTTTGTAATCACAATGTATTTAAGTTAAGGAGACAAAATAAATCATCCGGCAAGCTGAAGTGGATGGTTGACTATGCGGGTGACTATACTGTACAGTCAACTACATCCAACAGGCTTTCAGCGGGCTTTGCCCCTCTCTATTTGTGTCGGTTGCTTCCGCACTGTTAAGAGGACTTTTGCGGGACCTCAAGAGTTAATATATAGTACGGGTTGCCGAGTTTTGCATCCTAGCTAGTAATATCAAAGTACTATGGGTCGACAAGACACTTCTCAAATCGACAGTCTTAAAGACAGAAGTAATAGGGCAACCCTTACAGTAGGGAAAAAGCTGGTGTTCTATCACCGAAACCTTTTTCTTATTCATTCGAGTTTTCGAATTGGTACAGGAGTCCACCCTCAAAGATGAAAACGACAACAAAACAAGCAACAGATACAGAAGATAAGAAACAACCAACCATCAGTAACGTCAGTCTGGAGATTACTGTTCAGAGCTCCGCATGCTGGTGGCAGATCGATTGACTGAATTCTCATCGAAGGCCAAGAGGCTTCAATCAATTCACCGCTTAACCTTCATCTGTCATGGGCGATTATCTTTGTACCTGTGAGGTTAAACGCGTAACCCCTTTTCGTAGGCGTTGACAGATAAACGTGATCATCTGTCACACAACCAGCTTACGTTTGTGTATGCGCGAGATGAGTATGTGTGCAATGCGACATGTTTAGTTACAAGAACAGTTTAGGCACAAGATGCGATAAACTACACCCGACTGCTCATTGAGACTTAATTTGGCCTTGATTTTTACGACCCTACTACATGTGTTATCTTTGGCCGGTGTGCAATTCCGATACTGAATCCCTCAGGAATGCGCTTACTCGCCCCTGACACGTCCTTGGCGTATGGTAGTGCATGCCATACCATAGGTCCCATTTCTGGTTGAGCCCTCCGGGGCTGAACAGACGGACATTAACTTATGAACGTCTTCCGTATAAATTTATCGTGGAGATATCGGGCCTCGCCTGCTGTTCCTCCCGACTACTGCAGCAAGTCTGGATCCGTTTGAAGAGTGTTCTCACACAGCTTCGTCTGTGAGCGTGCAGATGGCGGCTATGAAAACTGAGAAATTGTGTATTTTTCGTCGTCTTCCTGTAGACCGTTGCTCCTATTTCCTCGTTGAGCCTTCGGTTGACGAGTACATCGAGGGAGGACAGCCGTTGCTGATGCACTGCCATACATCAAGGACGTACTAGATGCGACTGAGCGCCTAGCTGCAGGACTAGGTATCGGGAGTGAAAAACGGCCGAAAGTTACAACGCGTAGCAGTTCCGATTAAATCCCAATACTTATGCGTATACCTGGAATGCGAACATTTGCCTCAAATCTTTACTCACTGACCGGAAGAAGACAGATAGCCCAAAAGACAACGGCAGCAATAGCTCCACAAAGCCGAGAACCAACCCTCGCCCACGTGAGATATGGGCGTTTACCCGAGTCATGTACGCTTGCGGACAATCATTGAAGGTCAAACCATCGATAAGCGTTACGATCTTGGCAGGCCGAAGACCAAATCACACGCAGTGTGAGTAGTCAACTGGTAATGGGTATTCGGTAGCTGTCGCCATACCGGAAGGCCGCCACAACCAACTATGCATTACATAGACGGAAGATCCCGAATTAACAGAGTCAGAGTGCTGAAAGTTTTGGCTTTTGTTTTGCATCTTACAGAATTATGTGCTCACCACTAATCAGTGTGGAAGAGACTTTGAGTTACAACTTATGCTTATAATATTTTCTTGTACATCTTCACTAACTCTAGTTCAGCGTTATCGTTACTTTAAAGGATGACTTAGCCTCCTCTTTATTCTACATCGCTCCACGTACTTTGACTGCCTGTCCACTCCTCTGGGATCACTGGGTAACTCATCTCTCAGACATTCAGTTGATCGGTAACCCTCAGCACCTGCGATCTGCAATCACGGTTCCATGCTTAGAA